TGTAGCTCAAGTGGTAGAGTGCTCGCCTTGAGCTGAAGAGCTGAGGGACAGCGCCCAGGCCCAGAGTTCAAACCCCACGACCGACAAAAAAAAAAATTGCCTATACATTCAATGGGTGTATGTAGTATATATTATTCTGTGTCTATTTTGAATTGATCACATTTAATGGATTATATTTAGGGGTATTTTTTAACTGTTAAAAGTTTAATGTTTATTTTTGTAATCCAACAACTTTATCCAAAAATGCAGAAAATTTTTCTGGCTGTCCAGGAGGATAATATTTCAGTGTTGATAAGTCCATTGACTGTAACAGCCCAGGAAGCGTGCTAAAACAAAAGAAGAAAAATATTAGGTAACATGGGAGAAAATTTCATTAGTTTATCTGCTGTCCACTCGATGACTGAATCTAACTTCCAAGAATACAGTGATGCTCAAACTGTAGGTATGAATTTGTATGTATTCTTAGTATTGTAGAATATACATACTGAAATTTGTATAGCAATAGAAAATGTTAATGGAGATTACAAGACCATGAATGAAGATTGGGAAATACTTTTACTGGGAATTTACTATCATAACTTCAGATATAATTAAGCAATATATGTTCACCCTACATGTTGGAAATAAGGTTATAAATTACAACACAAAACTAGTACCTCAGATATATGTTTGAACCAGTCTCTTAAATTAGGACAGCCTAGTCTTGGGGAAAATGATTTACCTAAAATGAAAATATAAACAATTTTGCTTAATAGTTCATGTGCTTGATTTTTCTGATAACATATAACTATTAAAACTGTAAGAAAGAAGAAACTAGTGTGTTATACAGTTTCTTCTTCAGCCCAAGTTAAAATTTAGGACATTTTTGTGAAATAAAAATTCATTTTTATTGTACATTTAAAATCAAGGCTAATTTTAACATTGAGTGAAAACTTACCAAAAGTTATCTGGAAACACTGACTTGTATGATGAAGAGTTTGGAACACAAGAATATATTCCTTTCTTTAAAAAGGTGTCAATCTTTAAATATCTCAATTACCCAAGGGCAGACATAACCAATACCTATAGCATACATAATTTTAATTATTTAGCTTCTTTTCTGACCCAAAGTACTTCAAGATTGCATTTCCTCACTTCCATCATATTCCTCTCATAATGAAGTTGAGTTGGAACTCATGTCTTTATCCTTGCTCAACTTGAGTGCTTGACTGGTGCTTGAGACACATCTAGCTTGGCTTTTTTGTTAGTGATTTTGTACAGCCTTATTTTTTTTGTCTGGGCTGACCCTCGAACTTCAGTCACTTGGATCTCAGCTGCCCGAGTGTTATAAGTTTAAGCCAGTGGCACCTGGCTTATTTCTCTTTTCTTGCCAATAGGAGGTTTTGAACTGAAGATCTCCATGTTTGCTCAACTTGCATACTCAGCTGGTAGTCTACCACTTCAACCATACCTCCAGCCAATTTCCCTCCTGAAATAGTCCATCTGTTTTCTCAATGAGTAGGAATCTTCATTTTCTTCAGAATTCTCTATCTATATATCTATGTGTGTATGATATACCATATATATCGTATATATATCATACACACTGCTAGAAAATGATACAAAATAAGAAATTTACTCATTACCTTGCCCATGTAATTGTAACCCCTCTGTAAGGTATTTTCACAATTAAAAAAAGAAAATGATACAAAATAGGTGTTAAATAGATATCTAATGAATAAGTATTTACTGAGTGTCTAAGAAGCAGAAAAAATTTAAAAACCTCATGTTCTATAACTAGTTTTTAGTTTATTTTAAAACAAATTTACTATAACATGAAATGCACATGTATAATTATCCTATGAAGTAAAATACCATTAGAGCATGCTAGTTTCTAAAACATCACATTAGGACAGGATTTAAATTCAAACAAATGGCAATTGCTAACACCCTGGACCATCAGCAAGCTTATAGAACCTCAAAGAACAAAACCCAGCCAATTTCCCTCTTACTTCTTAATGCAATGTTGTTCAATGCTTGGGTTATTCTAATGTACTTCTAGTAAAAAATATTTCTGACCATAATTTCTTTGCTTAAAATTCTCCAGTGTTTTCTCACTGAACATACACTAAATCAGAACTCTCACAAAGGAGATCCTCTCTCTGCCTCATAATATACTCTCCCTTATACTACTGTCACATTAACTTTCCTGCTTCCCAAGAACACCAAACTCCATGCTCATTCCTAACATAGGAGTTTTTCTTTTTTTTAGGTTACAGATTGGGATTCACACTTGGTATCTGTTGCTTATGCTCAATGACTAGTGTCCTATGTACTGAGCCACTTCCTACCCCCATAAACTTAAAGGGATTTTGAAATTCAGTTCTCTGCCTCTACAACATTCTATCATTTCCTTTTTTTACTCAGGTCTCACTTTGTTTAGACTTCCCTGAGTATTCTCCTTAAGTAGTCTTCAATCCAGCTATGGTATCATTCTTTGTTTCTTTGTAGCATTTTTCACCATCTGAAGTTCTATGACTAGTATTCAAGTACAGCAAAAGCATGGAGATTACTTCATATTTATCACTATTTCTCAGCTCTTAACAGTGTCTGCTACATTGTTTGCTACAACTGAGCAACACATTTAAGGATTCCATTGATTTATAAAGGCCAAACTCACAAAAAAGAAGCAAATACTTTAAGAACCAAAAATCAAAAAAAGGAACTCAAATAATAGATTCACAGAAATTTGCATATCTGGGTGAAAATATAAAGTCTCAAATTCACATGCAAAGAAATGACATATAGGAAAAAAAAGCTACACATCAAGGCCAAACGTTTTATAGGAGGGAAAATCAATGTATGTCTGGGAAAAGAAATAAAAGAGACACATGGGTTAGGTAGGCAGGTAAAAACAGATGGATAAATCTAGGCAAAAGATCAAATTATCAGTCTCTACCTGCAAGTACAGTAGAAGAGATGTCCCTCTTTGTGTAGCTGCTTTGCCAATTCCAGTTGATGATTGTTCATCAACTTTTCATTTACAACTACCACAAGTGGCTTGCCTTTTTCCAGAGTCTCCAAACAGCTTCCCGCACCTACAAAAATAAAATCAAATTTGCTAATAACATATTTAAAACTTATTCCAGCCAGGTGCCGGTGGCTCATGCCCTGAGTTCAAGCCCCGCAATCCACCAAAACAAAACAAAAGTTATTTACCAAGTCTTCTTCTTGACTGTAAAGCTGAATAAGTTAGTTGAGCAAAGTATGTAAACTAGAGTACATTTATTAGTTGTTCTTTCTTGTTAATACACTAGGTTCAGGCTATGGGTAGAGACTTCATATTTATTAGGCAGATTCAAATTCCTGGTACTTGCAAAAAATATTTTAGAGCTACTCACAACAGTATGATTTATTGGTATGTCATACTTGTAGAGAGCTCCTGAGAGCTAACATTCATCTATTAGATATTTGGAATGGGAATGAGTAGACTGTTAGGTGAGATTTTTTTATATCCCATGCTAGGGTAGTTGTAAACAACACCCAGCACCAAATTATCTATCCATCACTTCCTGGCTGGACAAGTTACGTAACTGTTTTGTGTCTATTTTCTCATCTATAAAATGGAACAATACCAGCATAAAGTGCACACAGAATTGTTTGGGAAGATTAACTGTGTTAATATACACAAATTCATTTAGAGTGGCTACACATTTTCAGTCACCAATGTGTAATAATGTCTTATTTTTAGTGTCTTCTGTCTTTTTAAACTAAAAACTTTTTGAAAAATAAGAAACATCCCCCCCCACCACATAGCATTCAAAACTGTAGGATTCTGTCAAAGAAAGTCTTACACATAAATTACAAATAATTTCCTACTTACATAGTTACATAATATTTTATTGCATTTATTTCACACTGACACAAAATGAAAATGGTGAATATGATCCACTGACAATTTCTTATGAGCAGTTCAACTGGCAGACTGAACATTCCTTATTTTTTAGGTCCAAGACTGGGACTCAAACTTGTTACCTTCCATTTTTGCTCACTGGCTAGTGTATTACCAACTGAGGCATATTTCCAATCTTTAAACATTGCTTTACATGTAAGTTCAAGTCCTAGTTTAAGTTGACAATTTGTTACATGCTAATTGGGTAAATCATTTTGTCCCTCTGAATTGAGGGTCCTATTATAAAATTGGGCTAAGATAATTTCTTATTCTTATCCACCAATATGAAAATTGCATTCACAAGAGAAACATACCAATAATACTGAATGTATTATACACTAAAAGTAGTGATATCATGAGAAGGTAAAAATATGATTTAAAATCAAAGAAGGTACTCAGATTCTAAGACAATTACCTGCGTGACTAATAACGAGATCTGCTAGTTGAAAGTCTTCTTTCAAGGAATCTTTGTACCTGTAAACATCCAGAGTAAACGACTCAGTACTGAATGGTTTAGGTATCACTGTTCCTCTACCAATTTGGAGGATAAGTCGGCTGTAACCAAGACTCTGGATGATCTATAAAAAGAAATAAGAAAACCCGGGCCTTTGTAATTGTCGACTCTTAACAGCTGGGCCTGGCTACAGTTAACACCAACAGTTAATAATCAACCTTCAAAGTGGGCGTTCTGACCAGAACACCTGTGGTCATTTCAGTTTTCTAAAGTACCTCATTCCCCCTTCCCAGTCCCGGAACTGAAATTAATAGCCCTGAGGAATGTAAGGACACAGCGCAGCACTAAAAAGCAGGCAAGAGAAGACTTTGAAAGAGCCTCTGTTTTGGTCTCACAGGTTCTAGTGCAACAACCTCAGGCCTTCAGAAGTTCCGGACCCGCCGCCAGGGACGCTGTCCCATAATGAGCACCAGAGGTGAGGAAAGGTGAGGTTAGGGATAAGGCCGGAGGGGACCGCTGAGGTAGTCAAAAGGCCTTAGCGCGAGAGGTTTGGTGGCGACCCGCGACCTTCACCCTGACCCCAGCCACATTTACAAAAGGCGAAACCTTCAGAAAAGTGAGCAATGGCACCGTTCTGAAGGGAAGAAAGCACAGGAAAGGAGGTGCCAGAAAGACCGAGGAGCGGCGTGTGAAAAAAGGGAAGGGACCGACCTACAGGCCCAAGGAGCTTTAGAGCCCTGCTGGAAACAGACAGGTCATCAAGGGGACTGGCAACGGAGAGCGGCAACTGCCCCCCGCCCCGAATACAACAACCAGGCCAGGTTTCCAAGGCCAGCAGAAGGGCTAAAAGCTTGGAGCAACCGGCCGCCGCCCGCCTGGCCCCCTTCGCGGCTTCCCACACTCACTCGCAAGCTGTCCTGCGCCGACACACACGCTATGAGCTCGTCAAAGCTGGTGGTCCCTACGGTTACAAACACGCACTTCATCTCGTGCGTGCGTCCGTCCCAAATCGCAACGCCGGAAGCTGCGTCACGGAGGCGGTGCCAAAGCCCCGCTTAGTGAAAGAGGCGGGACTAGGCGACAGCCTCCCGGAAAGTATCATTGTGGTCCCACGTGGTGAGGATGTGGGTGTTTACCGAGGTAAGGGTTTTTGTTTTGGTTTTGTTTTTTCAAAAATAGTAAAATATAAAAATAAAAATCTCAAGCACATTATGTTGCCATCACTGAGTACCACATATCTTTCTTGGTTATATTTGACATACTTGGTGTTTCAAGCCACAGAACAATGCCTTGATTCACTAACACTCCAGCCTTCACCTCTCTCCCAGACCAGATAAATTCTCCTGGCAAGTACAGGACCAAAATTTATTCCCAGTTGAGACCTTGAGCAGCTACCTCTGCTCAGCTCCCTCCCTACTTCCATCCATTACTTATTTCCTACCTTTTGTCCCAACATTAGTTACTTTCAAAACATCTCCCCTAGGTTATTCTAGCATTCTTTCAGACCCACTATAAATACTTCAGATTGTAAACAAGGAATGAATGTAGCTGTGGCTAGAGGCTCCCCTTCTGCAAGTTTTTCCTAAGAGATCTGTGTTGGTCTTGAGCAACCTCTTTGTATATAGCCTTTTCCCCTCTTTTTGAATGTAACACTTGGTTTTGCCATGAAAATTTGGCCTATAGGATACCACCTCTTGTGCCTACCTCAGTTCTCACTTGCCCTTTGCATGTGGGAAAATGGGATAGAAAAACTCCACTTTTACTTATTTGTTATGCATTCACATAACATTTGTTCATATTGTTCTTTATTCTATAAGGTGGTAATAACTAATTAACATACAAATTACTGTTTTGGCCATGGTAGTAAACACAAGTATAGACAAAGCATATTTATTCTGGAATGTAGCAGATATATTGGACACCAAAACACAAACCATTCTTGATTTATATAGAATATATAGTATAATGGATAAATTATGGTGCTGGGGGGTCACACTACTTGAGTTTCTATTCTGCAATTATCTTGTTTCTTAACCTGTGTAACCTTGAGCAGTTTACAAGTCTATGTTCATCTGCTTATATGTAAAATGGTGATAAAAACAGTGCTTAATTTGTACCTATATTATTACTATAAATGATTATACATTAAAGAGCTTAAACCAATATCAGGCTAAAAACGTCCATAATTGCTATTACTTCTATTTTCATTGCCACAAAACACTGAATACAGGCAAATGATATTGAAGCAGAATAATATTGATTTATACATTTCTTATATTTGCTTTACAGTTTCATTATGTCTTTGTATTTAAAGTTCAGTAACGATAACATTCTGTTTTTATTTTAAACAAAATACCAAGAATCACAGTGAAGGGTTTTTTTGTTGTTAACAGCATATTCTGAATTTTCCCACCTGAACTAATACAAATAGTTTAATAAGCCAATCATTTAAATTTCACTTTTGTATTTAGCAACTGGGATTATATATCAGTAAATTATTTCATTCTGCTTTTACACAAATTGTTAAAAAAAAAAAGAAAAATGTTTTCATATGTATGCCAGGCCTAAACTCAGGGCCTTATGCTCTCAATTAGCTTTTTTTCTCACTGCTGGCACTCTACCACATGAACCACACCTCAATCCTGGCATTTAACTGATTAATTTTAGATGGTTATTTGAACACCTATCTGCCCAGTTGGCTTTGAACTCCAATCATCCAAATATCAGGCCTCCTGAGTAGCCAAGATACTGGTGTGAGCCACAGGCATCTGACCTGGACATAGTAATAACAATAGCATTACCCTCCTAAATTGTTCATTAAAACAGTAACAGAGTTTCTTGTATTTTCAAACTAAATTATATACTATCAGGTCCTTTTGCTTTGGAGGAAATACATTTTTCATTCTCTTCCGTTTTTATTAGCACTTATTTGTTGTACCTCCGGGCTTCACTGTGCTGTCTCCTTATGTGTATATAATATGCTCCAATCAAACCCTGTCTCCTCTGACAGTCCATCTCATAACCCTACCCTTCATGGAAACTTAAGACCATAATAACCCCCTTCACTCTTTCCACCCACCCATTTGTACTTTCCACCAAAGGAAACCTCTTTACATTCATTGCATTGTTGTCACTTCTTTGTCTGTGTGTTACAGCCCTAGGGCTTGAACTAAGGGCCTGAGTGCTCTCCAAAAAAAATTTTATTTTTGGGTTCGGTCGTGGGGCCTGAACTCTGGGCCTGGGCGCTGTCCCTCAGCTCTTCAGCTCAAGGCTAGCACTCTACCACTTGAGCCACAGCGCCACTTCCGTTTTTTTTTTCTTTTTGCTTATGTGGTGCGGAGGAATTGAACCCAAGGCCTCAGACATACAAGGCAAGTGCTCTACCACTGAGCCAACTTCCAAGCCCACCATAAAATTTTTTTTCCTCTCTACTACTTAAGGTACAGCTCCACTGCTTGGTTTTATTTTTGTTAGTTTATTGGAGATAAAAGTCTCATGGACTTTCCTGCCTAGGCTGGCTTTGAACCTCAATCATCAGATCTCAACCTCCTGAGTAGCAAGGATTACTAGGCAAGAGCCACCAGCACCTCATTTCTAAGAGCTAGATAATCAGTGTGAAAGAATATATATTTGCTTTCTCAGACTGGATTTTTTCACTTAACCAATGAACTCTTAGTGCCATCTAATTTCCTGCAAACTACATAATTCATTCTTCTTTATGGAAGATTAATACTCAACCACATTTTATCTATTCATTGGTTGATGGACTCCCATGAATCTGATGCCATATTTTGGCTTTTGTGTATAGTGCTGATAAAAATATAAAGTTATCTCAACAGTATATACAAAGACTTTAAAATAACCTTTTAAAACCCATCACAAATTTCCTTCATTCACACTTGTATATGTGCTGTTGAAGCACTAACAAGGTTTCATTTCTCAGTAGATTCTCTTTGGCTAAAGAAAGTAATACTCTCCTGTAGACAGCTCTTCCTAGTCTCCTTTGTCTTACAGATTGCTTTTTAAAAATTTTTTCTCCAAGGGGTACATGTAATCAAGCCTTTTTGTGCAATTAATAATAAAGTAGAAACCCAAAATACTGATGTATAAAAATGTGTTAAAACCTCATTTATACTAGTAGGGTTTTCATTAAACTAGATTTATAATCAGGTTGGATTTTTCCATTTTAATAAGCTTTCTGGTTTCTTTTGATCTGCTGTGTATATATAATTTGATTCATTTTATTTGGTAAGCTTATGATTAAAGCTTTCTTATACATTTTTTATACACTTAGAATTTAACATTAACAACTTTTCTTCTCCAGAGCTAAAATATAACTTTGAAATCAGAAAGAAATATTTTTGAAACATTTTAATTACAAATAACTCTAAATTGTGAGTAGAGTATTTGTATTTCCATTTTAGCTAGAAATCTATCCCTCATACACACACAAAATTAACATAAAATGGGAGTAGGATATGGTTCAGTTATATCTTCATCACCTCAAAAATAGAAAGAAAAGAATCCAGGCTTTGGTGGGTCATGCCCATAATCCCAGCTGCTCAGGAGGCTGAGGTCAGAGGATTTCAGTTCAAAGCCCAAGCCAGCCTGAGGAAGAAAGTTGGTGAGACTCTTATCTCCAATTAACCACCAGAAAACCTGATGTGGCCTTGTGGTTCAAGTAGCAGGGCACTAGCCTTGAATAAGAGAGCTCAGGGACAGAGCCCAGACCCTGAGTTCAAGAGAGAGAGAGAAAGAAAGAGAGAAAGAAAAAGAGAAAGAGAGAAAGAAAAAGAGAGAGAGGAAGGAAGGGAAGGAAGGAAGGAAGGGAAGGAGTTAAATATCTCCTCCATGATACAAAGGAAGAAATGAAAGGTAACAATTAGATAAGAAACCCAGAACTTTGATATCACTTGGACTAAATAAAACAATTCTCAGGTGGGGTGGGCATGAGAAGGGGAGCTTTACCTTATAGAGGTTGTAGGCCCACAGCACCTGCAAGCTGGTGAAGGGGCCAAGGTGTTGGTTGTACTAGACCCTTGCAGCCTCTACCAGCATAGGCTTTGGGAAGAGGGCTCTGTATTTTGCATGTGTCTTGTTCACCTGGCTCCTGGCTGGCCTACCAGTCTACTTCCTCAAAAGTTGACTTGAGACCTTCTATTTAGAATACCCTGAGTGTTGTTTGGAAGGTAATCTCACAAGAGAAGATGGAGAGTCTGAGAGCCGTCATCGGCCAGAGTGGAAAGCTCTGGCCACATTAAGATGGTGGCCTTGTTGAAACCCTTCCCCCTTCCCCTGTCATGAAAGGGTCTACCACATATCAAGGGGTGAGTTCTTTGCTAATGTGCTGAATATCTCCTAATGAACTTCCTAGGCCTCCACCACCTAACTATACCTCAAATGAATCCGCGTGGAAGACTGTCCCGTGGTGGCCATTAACTCCCATTTTCAAGAAGTAAAAGACTTCATTGACTGTGTCAGGGAAAAGGGAGGCAAAGCCCTGGTCTACTGTGTGAGGCTAGAATCTCCCATATAATCTGTTTGGCTTACCTCATGAAGACCCAGAAGTTCTGCGTGGAGGAAGCACTCTACAGGAGGAGATGAAGGAGAAGTAGGATCTCCTCACCTTCTGTTGGAAGCAGAGGAGGAACATGATTTTCTCCACCTTCTGCTCCCTGCTCCTCCTATACAGATCATTTGTATACAATGAACCCCTACTTGCTGGGTCCCTGCCACTGCGATTTCTTTACCTTAGTGCTGAAGCCAATGCCTTTCCACTGACAATTACAGAACTACACAGGAGCCCAGTTGCCCCAGCCACATCCTACCAAGACTGGAGGAGGAAGTGGTGCCAGCTCAACCTCAAGTGCAACTTTGATTTTATTTTTAAAACTTTTTAGCTGGACAGTAGTGGCTCTAGCTGCAATACTAGCTACTCAGGAGGCTGAGATCTGATGATCAAGGTTCAAAGCCCGCCCCTGCAAAAAGTCCCTGTGAGACTCATCTC